ACCCTGTCTCAAAATATAAAAAAGGGCTAGGGATGTAGCTAAGTGGTAGAGTACCTGGGTTCCATCCCCAGTACCCTGACCCACACACAAAGTTATTATACAAAGTGTATTCCACAACCACAAGGGGAAGATGAAGAAGTCAGTAGTAGTAGGAATACTAGAAAACTCACTTATTTTTGGAAATTAACACAATCAACAGGTGAAAGGTGAAATCAAGGGGAAATAAAAAATATTCAGAAACAAAATCACGGCATAACAAAACTCATGTGACACAGCAAAATCAATTTGAAGGAGCATATTTATAGCTAAATGAAAAAAAAGGAAAAATATACCAAGGACCCACACTAAGCAAAATTTATTTATAATTTGTATTTTTTCCAAAAAAATAAAGGAAGACTATGAAAATAAATTTCTAGTGTCTGTCAGAAGTGTTGTTGAAGTGCTTTCTCCCTTTGTTAAATTCGCTTTGAGCACATGTGCCGCTCCTCAGCATGTGAAGCTGACCCAGAACCTGGTGCAGAGCAAAAGTCGCTTTGCTGGAGCAGCTGCAGCTACTTTGCCTTTCTTGGGAGCCAAGAGAGCTCCAGCTCTTGAAGACGCACAGAAGAAAAGTCAGGTGCACGAGAGCGCTATTCAGTAGCCTCCACTGTGCACAAATCCACCAGCAAAGGCACTGCCTAGACCCCAGGTCAGAGACCTCAGCCCAGTACCACTCCTGGGATGGCGCCCTCTGCTGGGCAAACTCGATGTTGAGATGGACCCTGTTTCAGACTGTCGCGCCCTGCGGAATCAGGCTTTGTTAATCTCCGGAGATTCAAATCCTCAAGAGCCCTTTCCCAAGCACTGGTCCAAGAAACTGCTCAAACTTGCAGCTTGACGTGTGCTTTGAGATCTGGCCACCTGGGCTTTGCAGGAAGCCTGCAAGTCCTATCCAGGAGGTGCCATTTCCTAGGCCCTGCCAATTCTCTGGTGCTGCTGGGAGACCAGCCCTTGGCCTGTGGACCAGAGTGAGAGGTTCATCTTTGGGTTTACCTTTTTCCAAAGATGTCACGCAAGCACATGATAAAAATGGAAAAGTCATAAAAATGGACTGAAGCCTTCACTCTCCACATTTTAAGTATATGTGGATATAAAGCATTATGGAGCAATTAGGTTTAGCAATTTAAACTGATGGCAACTTAATGGTTTCTATAGACTCCTTTCATCATAATCTTCTATTATCCTTCTGTTGTGACTATTATCTGTCTTCTGTCTTGTTTTGGCAATTTGATATGAAAATAAGTTATACTACCTTAACCTCCCTCTTATCACTTGGTTCAGTTTCACCTAACTTTTTGCTGATGCATTTACAAGGACAGGTATGCCCACACAACTGCTAAGATGTTTCCATTAGGAACATGGGAAGGACTCTGAGAATTGAGCTCAGTCACTTCTCAATGTTCTTATTACTGTTCTCCACTGACCTTCAAGATGAGTTTTCAAACTTGCCTACTTCACAAATCTTTTACATCAAGGCTGAATGTCCTTTAGGTCTAATTGATCCTTTTGTCTCATTATATAAACTCCCTTTAAGCTCTCTTAAGGGACACAGACCTTTGAGTTTTGATAATTCTAGTAAAATAGATAACAGTGATAGATATTACCTGTTGCTCATTTACTGTGTCAGGCATTGTTTCAAGTAATACAGAAAATGTCAGAAATAGAAAATGTTGTGGAAAAATGAATCAGAAAATGCCTCCAAGACAAAGATTGCAGATTATTACACTTTTCACAGATGAGGAAGCTACAGCACATGAAAAGGAACTGACCTGTCCCACATCACTCTGCTATATGGGGGGAAAGAGAATAAATAGCCAAGTAGCAGACAATATGCCAGAAAGTAAACTCAGAATCTAATGGATAATAACAAGGAACCAAAATTCACTTACACAATTTTAAAACTCAATTGTACTGAAGCATGATTTACATAAAATATACATTTTCAGTACATTCTGAATTCTGAAAATTTACACAGCTTTGTAAACACTACCGCGATCTAGATGTAGAACATTTTATCACACTAAAACATTTACTTGATAAGTGATCCAGTGACTCCTTGCCAACTCTTCACAAGAAACCAATGTTCTGCTTTCTATCACTCTAGATTAGACGTCTTTCCTAAAATTTCATGTAAGTAGAACATGGCTCTAGTTTTTTCCCCCTAATTTAGAATAATATTGTTGAAGTTTATCATTGCTGTTACATGAATCAGTTGCTAGGTGCTATTACATCGTAAAGCAGTACTCATAATAACCTTATATTTTCTCTTAACAGATATTCTGATTTTTTTCCAGGCTGGGGTATTACAGATACTATGAACATTTTTGTACCATTCTGTGTTTCTATAAACAACTAGAGTGAAAATTGCTAGTTATAGGAAAAATATCATTACCTTTATATGGAACTAGCAAATGGATTTGTGATGTTATCACATTATAGTTTAACCTGCACTTCCTTACTTATTAGTTTTAGACATCTTTTCTAGTACTTATGGGCCACCTATTTTTTTGTGAAATGCCTGTTTCAATATTTTCCTTTCCTTTGCTTATTGAAACTAGGTTTGTGCTATTACAAACATTCTTTATATAATGAAGATGAAAGTCCTTTGTCAGGTATTACTAGAGATACTGTCTCCCAGTCTACGGTTCTCTCATTCATTTTCAAAATAAAATAAATCCCAACTTACCTTTCTTTTTGTGTTTTATGTTCTATCTAAAAATCTCTGGGTACCTAAAATTACAGTTTCTTCTAATTGACATTTTGCACACTGTTTACATGAATTACTTTGAATACATTTTAAAATTAAAATACATCAATGTATAGCTATTTTAGCAGCATTTTAAAAAACTGTCCTTTTCCCCATCAAACTATTCTGAAACACTTATTAAAAGTCAACTGATGACTTTCAATTACAGCCTAAGAAGTAGCAAAAAAAATTATTGCTCCTACTCAAAAATCAAAGTAAGTGGCTAGGCAGGCTACTATTTTTCTCAAATGTATTAGATATGTAAGGTCACAAGGCAAAATAGAACCCATAGTCTGGAGAGGTAGGTGGCTGCAGAGAGAAATAAGGATCCAATCAATTGCATAAATGAGACCAAGAATGCCAAACACCACATAAAATTATTTCAGTGGAAAACACAGACAACATGCATGATATAGAGGGTAATTTCTGCAGAGATGGGAACTATGATAAAATGTCAGATAAAAAAATTATGGTAACATAAATGAATGCCCTCAAAAGGGCCACTAGCATACTAAACACTGAAGAATCAGTGATGCTAAAGACGTGTGTGTGTGTGTGTGTGTGTGTGTGTGTATTACATGTATTACTGATCCTATGATAATGCCAAAGTATATAGAAAACATCGGTTTCTTTGAAGAGGCAGTTTGGTAACAATGGCTCTTCCTGTATACATATTATCAGCAGGCAGCAAGGGAGAGGGACTGTGGCACGGTAGTCTGAATGTTCAGATATTACCCGTGAAAGGTTTATTTGTTTTACGTGGCAAGTTGTAGCTGAGGTGATAGTACTTATTAAGTAAAGGGACATAATTCTGAGTTGCAAAACAAATAAATACCTGGTAAGTGGAATGAATATATCCAGACATAAACACCACACAAATCAGAAAATATTCACAAACATTCAATGCTGTCATTCACATTGTGTTATTTATTTTTAAAGTTTTTATTCTAGTGAATGCTTATTAATCAATATTAATATATTACAGTTTCCATACTACATATGAAACAGGTCTTTAAATAAAATTTCTAGATAAAGGCTATTACTTACCTTTCTCAAATTGTTATTTTCCTGTTGTAGGTCTGAGAGATAAGGAAGTTTGAGGAGTTATAAGTAATGAGATACCATTTTTTGGTGAGGGATTTTCTCTCCATATGTTCAAATATTAATTTTTTCCCAATACTGACCTGAATGAGTTGTAGAAAGATATTGTCTGAAGTTTCTCCAGATGAATTTTCTGATATACAATGAGTTCAGATGTCCGCAGAAATTAGATTCATAGGTTTGCAGTAAGGGTTGGTGAGTTTGTTAATATCAAGTATACCCAATCCTGTATAAGCTCAGCGGAGTTTATTTTCTGGTTGTAAAAAAGCCCAGCTGTGCATATGGAGGGGGAAACTCATTCCAGAGAGCAGTTTTTGACCTATTTCTCACCATCATGTATGCTTTTGACTTCAATATATGAACCAGAACTAATCTCCATTCCATTCAGATGAAAACTGGAAGAAACACTGAAAATTTGAGAGGCATAAGACACATTTATAATTGATTCTTACTTTTTTTTAAGCTAGAGTTTAACAATGTTGGATAACACAATGGTTGAGAAATTTGGGTTAGGTGTAGCATGGGGGCAAAAGGAAATGGTTATTGGTGAATATTTTAATAGTCATTATATAGCATATGGGCCTTATACTTGTGTAAGTCAAATTGAGTGTCGACTTATGATAGAGTTTCCCACATTCATCACCTTCATTTCTTCTGTTTTGTATACACTCAGGTCTCTACCTTTTATATATTTTGTGCTGTACTAAAAGAGTTAGCTTTTGGTTAATCAGCACACATTTCTTTCTAGGTTTTCCTCACTGTGATTCCTTTCAAGGATGTATTTTAATTGCTCACACAAAATCTTCGTATTTTCTTTACTTTTTTTATTTTTCAGTACCAGGGAACAAACTCAGGACCTTGTGTTTGCCTGGCAGGTGCTGGAACCACTGAGCTAAATCCCTGGGCCCCATAGTTTCTTTAATTTTAAAGAGAGTTTTTGCAGCACAAGTTTTCTGAGGATTGAATTCACATATTATTTTCTGTATTATCTTTAAAGTGTTTCTTTCCTGGGTAAACTCTGATAGCCAACAACACCGGCACTGTGACTGAAAAACTGCCCATATTGCCCATACGCTTTATGTTCATATTTACTCCCCTGTGTGGGCCTTCTGATGTTCTCTAAGGCTTGATTTCTGACTGAAAGTTTTCTCACATTTATCACATTTATAAGGTTTCTCCCCTGTGTGGGTTCTCTGATGTACTCTGAGGTTGGATTTCTGACTGAAAGCTTCCCCACACTGGTTACAATTATAAGGCCTCTCCCCTGTGTGAGTTCGCTGATGCTTTCTGAGAACTGACTTCTCACTAAAAGCTTTTCCACACTCATGACATTCATAGGGCTTTTCCCCTGTGTGTGTTCTCTGATGTCCTCTGAGATTTGATTTCTGCCTGAAAGTTTTTCCACACACATCACATTTATAGGGTTTCTCCCCAGTATGAGTTCTGTGATGTACTCTGAGGTTTGATTTTTGACTAAAAGCTTCCCCACAATGATTACATTTATATGGTTTCTCCCCTGTATGAATTCTGTGATGTCCTCTAAGTTGTGATTTCTGACCAAAAGCTTTTCCACATTGATTACATTTGTAGGGCTTCTCTCCTGTATGTGTTCTATGGTGTTTTCTTAGGCCTGATTTCAGTTTGAAAGCTTTTCCACAATCACTACACTTATATGGCCTTTCCCCTGTGTGAGTTCTCTGATGATTTCTTAGGCCTGACATATGACTAAAAGATTTTCCACATTCATTACATTCAAAAGGTTTCTCCCCTGTGTGTGTTCTCTGATGTACTATGAGGATTGACTTATAGTTGAAAGATTTCCCACATTCATTACACTCAAATGGTTTCTCCCCAGTGTGGGTTCTCTGATGTATCCTTAGGCCTGACTTTGCACTGAAAGCTTTCTCACATTCATCACATTTATATGGTTTCTCTCCAGTGTGAGTCCTGTGATGTTTTTTCAGATGCGACTTGTCACTGAAAGCTTTCCCACATTCATGACATGCATAAGGCTTCTCCTCATTGAAGCTTTTTTGAAGTCGACTCAGATGTGAATTTACAAAGGAGGATTTTCCACATTCATTATACTCAGAGGGTTTCATCTTTATATGAATTCTGTGATGTACATTAAAAGTCAACGGGCAGCTAAAGGTCTCCATGCCTGTATTATCTGTTGGGTGACTTCTCTGGCATGTTAGGAGGGCTGAATTATGGCTGAAGTTTCCATGTTCAGAGTGCTTTATCTCGATGTCAATTTTCTGCTGTTCTCTCATGTGTGACTTTTGTCTGAAAGATTTTCCTGCTGGGTCAGTTTTCTGAGCAGTCCTACTAAAATCATTTCCATTTCCATTATACCCACAGTGACTCTTATCTGGATAAATGCTCTGATAAACAATGGTTGACTTATTACACAAATTTTCCCCAAATGTATTAAATGTATAAGGTCCCTCTTTTTGATAGGCACTCTGAGATGGAATAAGAATAGCCTTTTCAAGGAAAGCTTTTCTCAAATTCTGAATTGTCTGATGCTGAATAGGCTCTACTTTATGACTACAGTCTTCTATATTTTTACTATAAACCAAAGGTTTCTCTCCAGTGTTCTTTCTGCAGTCCTTAATACTGAATATCCAATTCTCAGAGCAGTAGAGATCAACAGCCTTTTCTCTTGAATACTGAAAATGTGAGGCCAACAAGTTGAGACTCTGGCTGTTGGGCCCAGCAGGGTCACACTGACAAAGCATCAATCTTGCAGGGAAAATATCTTTTTCTGAGTAATATGGTTTTCTGGAAGTTTCTTGCTCCATAGTCAATGATTTGCTGGTGAACGAAACTTGCCACAAATATTTGCTCTGGTGTTCTGGGCTCTTCTCCAAGATTTTATCAGGTTGGTAGTCTTCTACAAATGAGAAAAAAATACTTTATGATACTTCATACAGCTCTTATTAATGGGACTTAAAAGATGTAACTGAAATACATGATGTTTAAATTTTTAAAAATTAATACCATAAAATACACATTACCATTTATCACTCTCCAGTTACTCCCTCCTGCAATGAACACTTATCTTGTCATTCTTGCCACTTTCTTAAGCAGTTCTAGACATCCTCTTTCATGAATGTCTTTATAAGGTGTGATGAATAATACAGTGAATGCTGCTGCTAAGTGCCATCCAAGAGAAAAACAGGCCCCTAAAAACATTACAATATGTCCTCATTCATCTTATCTGGCAATGTGCAAATTTTGGATCCTCCCCAAATTTAAAATGATCATGAAAAGTTAAGGTTTTGAATTAAGGTAGGACATCAAGGGAGCCATGATAGTACAAGTAAGACAATTCAGAACTGCTTCAAAAAGTAGCATGAACAATGGGATAACTGTACTCTATTTTTGGTTTAAAAAACTTTTTATAGTAGAAAGTAGAAATGAACGTGTGTGTGTGTGTGTGTGTGTGTGTGTATTTCAAAATGGAGGAGAAAAAAGGATATGAAGGAAAGAAACAATTGAGAATGAAGTTTATTTACAAGATTTGAGATCCTGCCACCAAAAACTCAGAGAGTGTCATGACCTCAACAAAGGTTATTAGCACTAAGTACATAACAATAATAAAATCAAAAGACACCAAGTTTCAGTGGATTTATCTGAACAGGCTTTGCACTACAAAGTAACTCTAGAGCATATATTTTTAATTTTTCTTCTGTGTGGTACTAGTTATTGAAACTAGGGCCTTTGCTCTGATCTACTTATCTCAAACCTTTTTATAAGACAGTGTCTAGCTAAGTCACTAAATTTCCAGGCTGGGCTGAAACTTGTGATCCTTCTATCTCAGGCTCACAGAATGCTGGCATTACAGGCATGTATCACAATGCTATACTAGAACCTAGATTCTTACTCAGTTAAATAAATACTACAATGGTAGGATAAACATTAACCTACATAATGCTGATCGGAGTGCTGTTTTTTCTATTCCATTCATCAATATCAAAATTAAGTGTATAACAGTATCAATTTCCTCATCTTAAAAGAAATATTCCTACAGGCAATGCGTTAACTTGCTCTGCAGTATCACCACAGCACACATATGTCTAACTGAAAGTATACTTTGATGGGAATTAGACCTTTTCCCATCTAGATTGGATTCACTGTTCTATTCTCTGTCTGGTGCTTTGGTTTATTATATCACAGTCTTTTTTATTATTATTAATTCTTCAGAAGCTTAAGAATCATGTTTCAGCACTTCGGAGGATGAGGCAGGTAGATCACTTTGAGTCCAAGGGAATCCTGGGCTACACAGTGCATTCAAGACCAGCCTGAACTACATATTCAGTGAGGCCTTATCTCAAAAAAGAAAGAAAAAAAAGATCATGTCTCAATCTGGCCTTAGAATCTTTACAAATGCTTTATATTTTTCTGTCCTACATTTCTTATGTGTATTAGACAGCAATCACCCCGCTGCTACATATATGATAAAATGTCAAGACTGAAAGCACGGCCTCAGGTACCTAGAGATAAAAATCTCACAGACATGATTCATGAAATGCATGCTCATTACATATACTACCTACCATTCCACTAGGCCACAGTACTTTTTGTCCTCACCTTTACAAGGTATCAACACCTAAATAAACTGTATGGTTTATTTCCATCAATAAATTCATAATTCTTTCCTTAAATCATCTTGCATTTCAGTCTTACATATACATAACTTCTAAATATCTTTCAGGCTGGGCTATTTCTTTTTTTTTTTAAAGGAAGAGTCAATCAATGGAATAAACTTTATTGTCTCATTTTAAGAAATTGCCATAGCCACCCTAAACTTCAGACACTCTAAATTTCAGTCAGCAGTCAGGCTCAGATAATTATTAACATTTTTAGGAGTAAAGTATTTTAAAATTAATGCATATGCATTATTTTTAAACAATGATCTTATACCCTTAAAGAACTATAGCATAAACGTAATTTTGAAACCCACTGGGAATCCAAAATAATTCTTGTGAATCAACTTATTGTGATGTTGTTTTTATTATTATGATCTAGAACCCAGCATGTAACATATCCAAGGGATACCTGTAATAAAAGTGGGCAGATACCTCATATTAGACAAAAATTACATGTAAGTCCCAGGTGAATGAAAAGTATATCATTAAAAGCTTTAAAATCTCACATTTAAAAATAATTATTTAAATAAGACTGAAAAAGAACAAAACACAAAGGAAATAACTGATAAATTTGACATTAAAATGTTCTGTTTAGAAGGCATCTTAGAAAAAGTATAAATATAAGCCATAGTTTGGTGAAAACAAAGTAGATGTGCATGTAATAATATCGAGTAGTGATGGCAAGTCCTTTAGAGATGAGAGTGCCCAAACTGCAACCCAAAACCCATTTATTTATTTATTTATTTATTGGTACCGGAGATTCAACTTGGGTCCTTGTGCTTGTGAGGCAGGCGGTGGAACCACTGAACTAAATCCCCAGCCCCAAAACCCATTTATTGAGCACAACACTGTAATTAAATCTAAATAATGGGGTTTTAATTTAGAGAAAACAATTCCCACTTTAACATCTTTTGTTTTAAAAGAAAAACAACACGTGTGTCATAGGTTCATCACCACAGCTATAAAGTAATATCACAAACAATGTGGAGTTAAAAGTAATTGGTAGAAGTACTTATAGCTCAGTTAATCTTGTTAAAGCATGAAAAATGTTATCAGATCAATTAGAGATTGACAAACGGTACTGAAAGTATAATGTCATGAACAGGAATGATAAACTATTAAACACAGAATAGGGCATTCATATTATTCTCCATATTTTCCTGGATGTCAGAAAAACATTTCAGAAAATATGTTAAAAATATTGTCATCATCAATGCAACTGGACATGACACAGAGGTATAAATTGGATACTGGAACTCAGTCAATATTCATTAAACTAAAAGTTGTGAAGTTTGATTCTTTAAATTTTAAGTAGATATGACCTATAATATTTAAAAATAAAAATAGGAAAATATCAGCACTGTTTAAATAGATTAGCATTAAAAGGAGGATAAAATCGTTCCTTACTAACTGGAATTCACAACTGATTTTGGGGTTTGCTAAACAATTTTCTAGAAAATTAACCAATGTATTTTTATGCTAAGAACTCAATACTGACCAAAGGACAGTAAAGGTAGAGCAAGGGAAAGCAGAAAGCAGGAGAAGAATGAGAAAAATATAATGGAATTAGATTAAAGTAGATGCAGGCGAAATTAAAGTTCCTGATCACAGATATCTTTCAGCACTTTCAAAATTGGCAAATAACTTGATAAAACCACTGTCTATCAGTGTATAAAACTCTGATGGAGTGCCTGCTGAAGTTATGAATATAAGTGGGGAATGTAGCACAGAGACTTTCAAATGGAAAAGAATGGCTTTTGTATTACAATTTGGTTATCAGGTCAAATTCCTTGCCTAAAAACTTACTGAACCTTTTTGGGAAAGCATTAATTTGCGAATCTAAAATAAATAATATTGGACATAAAATCAACATGAGTTGGTGAAGATTAAAATCTGTCAGTTGAATCTAATTCTTCTCTGTGATGGGTCCATTAAAGGGCAGCAGCAGTGTAATTAATTGCTTGAGGCTCAGAAACCCAATTAATCTCTAAGTTGACTTTTATTTCCTAGAATGGTAGTGCTAGAAGAGCCCTCCAGGATCATCTAACTCTCCCTTTTCATTTTATAGGGAGGAAACAGACATAAAAGAGGTGAAATGACTTGCTCAAGGTCAAAGATAAGTTTTATACTTGCCACTATAGCCTATAAATTGATTCAGTATTGCATCCTTCAAATTTTTATGAGTGTTCGTGTGTGTGATCATGAAATATTATTTGAATACAGTTTGTTCTTTTATTAGTCATTCATAAAGTAGTTGAAAATTCATCTCATGAAAGTTTCCTTACAAGGGTTTTCAACCTTCAGTTTTAAAAAAAACTGAAGCCTTTTCCATATTCTTCGTGTAGCAAGGGTTGCAATAGGAGAGTGGGGAGGGACTGATATGCATACCTCACAGGGAAAATCTAGGAACAGAGGAGCCTTGGGTGTGGACTCCAGGAAAAAAAGGGGTCATGAATTGACAGTACAAATGAGGCCCAATCCTGGTGGTATGTTGCCAGCTATCCCATCCCTTAAGGATTCTATGTGCCCGATTCCAAGATGTGAGCAGAAAAAACACGGAATATTTTTAGAGAAGAGCTCAGTGGGGTCAGCAATGATAACAAAGATGACATATGAGGACACAGGAAATGACAGCCACTGTAAGTGTAGGAAGCAGGGTGGCACACCATGTGTCAGTGTGGTAGCTTGGAGGCGCCCTGCTGAAATATGCCCCTAGTGAGCCTGCTGTGAATAAAGAGGTTATCCAAGAACGTCCAGTTGCTACATATTTTGATTTGCTACTGCATCCATACTTAGATAAGCTCTCCCTGAGTGCTCCTTACTGAACACAACTCTGGATAACAGCCAGGACTTTTGGCTCAATATAGGAAGGCTGGGCTATTTCTTAAACTGAAAAAGAAAAAATACTTTCTAAAATTTTCCTACAAATTTAAGTAACACTTATTTACAATCTGAAAGCAGTTACTACCTGTATCACTCATTTTAACCAGCGATACATGGTATGCATTTATATAGCTAAGAATCATGATATATTAAGCAAATTAAAATTTACTTGGGTACTTGTTGTATATAGGTTCTGGAAAGTGCAAGGAGTACCAAAAATGATGAATACCAAATAAACTGTTTTGGGTGGAAAGTGTAGCAAATCACATGGGAATAAACACTGACAAGTTCTAGCTTAAATGACAAGTATGAAAGGATGAGTATCAAGACAATATTTTTAAGTTAATATGTGATGGGTCCCAAATATGATCATTTTCAAAGCAATTGAGTACCAACAAATGACTGTACTATCAATGAAATAAGGAAGCATCTTAAAGTTGATGGCAAATTCATAGTTAATTGGGTATATTATCTTTCTAACTTATATGTAAAATAACAGTTCACCTTTTAATAACACCTTATGTGATAGAAAATATTTTGTTTCTTGTTTTCTTTCCAAAGAACTTCATTCTGATACACTTCACATTTCTCTATTTTATATACAGAGACTCAGACCCAATGCCAACCTACACCTCACAAATTGGAAGTTCCAGAAATTTCACTGGAAGATTTGCATTTAGAGATAGTGTTTTCTGAATGAAGCACTAGGAAATACCTCTCCCAACTGGCTCTGGAGATAATCTATAGTATTATTAAAAATACTTATTACATGGTACATGCCCAAGTATGGAAGAGTGACGAGCAACCATTCTTTTTTGAAGGATTATAATCCAGGTGGGTAAAAGAATTCATTCAACAACTGAGTTTTCTCACACAGAATCCTACTTCTTTTTGATACATCATCCATCAGGAGAGTAGAAAGTTACCAAAGGAAAAGATGAAGTACAGGCTACAGTATTCCAAGATTATACTATAAAAGTAGGAACCTGAGCCAAAATGTCTTTCCTTTTTCTAGCTGAGGTCAGCTACTTTATTATTTTTATTACAAAAACAACCTTTTAGCTTTATGATTTATACAATTAGTTTTATCTGTATCTTGCTTTGCTTTCTTTCCTTTGAAACTTCTCTCTTTTTTTACCTAAGTATTTGAAACTAAAAGTTTTCCTCTAAGCACTGCTTTATCTATAGTCCAAAGGTTCCCATGTGTATACTTTTAATTTTTTAAAATCCTGTGTATAATGTACAGGTTTGATTTTGCTTTACTCTTTGATCCAATGTGTTTAAGGACACATTTGTTACGGATCTCAAGACAGACTTCAGTTTTTCTCATATTATTTGCAAAAACTAGTTTAACTGAACAATAGCATCTCTACCTTGGGGAATTTATTGACATTTACCTGAAATGTTTCTATGTTTGGTCAATGTTCCAAGGTCATTTTAGGCAGATTCACTCTTTGTTTTTGGAGTAGAATTTTGAAAAAGTATAAAATCATTTTATAAAATATGCTACTTACAAATTCTAGAGAATGAGTCAATAAACTTATAATAAAAAACCAGAGAGTAAATGCTTTTGGCAGTGCTTGCTATGTGGTCCCTGTTAAAACTACTCAACTCTGGCTTATAGCATGAATTCATTATCAAATGGATATGGCTTTGTTCCAATAAACCTATCTCTACCAGAAAGTACAGCAGGTAACACTGACGTGAGGCCCACAGTTTGTTGAACACTCTTCTAGAGTCTCAGTTGGTGTGCACTGGCTTTGCAGTGACAGAGAGGTATAATAAGGTCTACCATATCTAATGCAGAGATACCTCCATTCATGAACTTAATTCTTCCCATGATTCTGGTCACAAACCAAATTGGGCAAGAACCGAATCCAATTTCCCCATAAGGTTAACATTGAACCAACCACTGAATTTGATTCGGTTCTTGTCCGATTCAGTTTGCAACTAGAAATTGTGGGAAGAATTAAGATCATGAACTGAGATACTACTGTATTGCTTCTTATAATTCCTGTGGTTTTTATTTCATAAAACTTGATTATTCAAAACTTTTACATATTCTTTTAAACTTGTCTTCAGCATCTTTAAATTGCTTTCTTCTCACCCATTTTTATCTGACCTGAACAAACACTTAGATATTAATGAGATAAGTAAACAGTGTATTATTTTTGAGAAAAACTGGTATTGTTTCCTTCTAAACTATGAATTTATTCCATCTGTTAGTTGATACAGCAGATCCATTGTCTTATGGTATGTTATTATGCTGGAGATTTGCAGAGCTTCTGCATAGACAATAATAGATGCAGCAGGCCAGAGACTGCCACTTTACATGCTTGTAGCCTTTGGCTGGTATTTGGTGAGATTTCAAGAGAATTGCCAGGAATCCCAGATCTGCTAAGAAATGCCTATGAGGGTTCACTGTGCACAAACTCTTTGTACAGACAAGGTGATTTATGTTGAATACCTGCTTCCTACCTGAAAGTCTGGATTTTTGACATATGCTAGCTAGAAGGTGCCTCTGTGAATAGCCCATAATAAAAATCCTGGACCACTAGTCTCTACTGAACTGCCCAATTAGACAACCTTCTACACAAGTCTGTCACAATTTATGCTGGGGGAACCCAGCATGCTTGGTTACTCTGAACTCCAAAGTTCATGCTTGGTTACGCTGAATTTTGTCTCATGCCTTTTTTTCTTTCATTCTGTTTTGTATCCTTTCTGTTACATTTCAGCCATGATGATTACCATAAGCTGAGCTCTATGAGTCCCCCTAGTGAATCAGCAAACCTTCTGCCCGGATTCAGTGACTCACCTGGGGAATTCCAGCTTAGGCATTCTTTCCCTTTATCTAATGACCATGGATCATCTCCTTTTTCCAATATGAAGATGAGTTCTGGTTTTGTAAAGCAGTACCCTGTGAAGAGAAAACAATTTAGAAATTGAGTCAACAGCATAGGTTCCACTGTTCCTGAATGTGAAGGAAGGTACAGCTTTAGAAGGGGTACACTGAAGGGATTCACTGGATCTTTTTTGGGTAAGTGATAACAAAAACCCACTTTTATGCTTATAAACATCTCTTTCAATCTCTGATTGCAAGAGTAAATGACATTATATTCTAAAATCATCAATGTCTTGGATTTCAAACATGAGATTTCATGAAGTCTTCCATGTCTGTCATTATGGATTAAAAGACACTGATTTACCTATCCGAAATATATGAAATGTTATAGACTTTAGGTAACAGGTAAGAATTTCTGAGAATAGAGGAACGAGTGAAGCGAGCCCTAGAATTATCACAGGTTACTGTTGAGATTATTTCCAACTGATATCACACAACACATTCAACAGATTGGCAGATTCAATGAGTTGAGGTGATAGCACTGAAAGTGTATGGAGGTCATGGGAGCTACTTATGTGGAGTGAAATATCAGAGAAGAAAGAGTTCTACTAATACAGAGTCTTGAAGATCTGAGTGTTGACTTGGATAAACATGCAAGAAAAGTCAGTTGAGTGTAAGGAAAGATCAGTGGAAAAGAACAGGTGAAAAGTAATGTAAACTGTTTAATAAAATTACTTATTTTTTTAGAAATTATTTATTTCTTCCCATAAGAAGGAGGGATGGGATCTCCCAGATCAGGGTGTCAGTGTGGTTTTGTTGGATTCCACTGAGGGTCTACTTCTATGCTGTAAACTTCTGACTTACTGAATTGTCACACTTTGGGATTACCTGATGTAGCATTGTGTGAGGCAGCAGGATTTCTCCCAGTCATCTTTTATATGGGCACTAATCTCATACATAAGAGCTGTGCCCTACTATAGCTGTATAAGTAACCATTGGAATGGTGCAGAATTTAGGAATTAGGACTGCTGTCTTCGCAGACTGACCCTTTTGTCACTATATAAAGTCACTGATCAGTGGTAGTTTGCTTTGCTTTGAAGTCTACTTTAGCAATCCTGCTTTCTTATGATTAATGTTGCATGGTGTACTTTTATGTTCAATGTACTTATTTTTTAAATGAGTATCATTGGGTCTTTTTTTAAACCAACTCTTTCAATCTCCTTTTATTTGATTCACTTAATTATGAATATGTTAGTCCTTAGTCCGCCATTTTATTTGTATTCTGTCTGTTCCCCATTTTTCATTTTTTCACATGGGTGGGTCCCCTTGAACATTTTTTAAAAGCTTCATCTTTATTTAAGTGTATTTTACAAGCTTAAACATACAGATTTGCAAAAGTTTTTAAATAGTTAATTCTATATACTAAGTTCTATGTTAGTTAGCACAGTTCACCAGTGTTGATATTTTACCTGCTCAGAAGTATAAAGGAATCCGTTAAGTCTCTTTAGTGCTCCCTGTTCATAATGTGATAATTTTAAATGCTTCCCCCATATACAGAGAAAAATATCAAATAGTGTTATAAGATTTCCTTCGTATAATGACTGTGACCACTATGTATATCTAAAATGTACCAATAAAATTAATTTTTAAAAAGTGGAGGGTGCAGGGAGGGATTAGAGGAACAGGATAAAAAAGAATTAAAATTTGTTATGTACATGTACAAACTCCCAACAATAAGTGTAATCATTTAGGGTTATTGCAAATCAAACAAACAAACAAACCACAAAGATTTCCTCCAACCATTAAATACAAATGAGAAAACTCAAGAAGGAAGCCAAGTAATTTAATATGTACTTATACTTTTACTCTTTCTAGTTCTTTGATTTCCGATAGTTCGATTGCTTTTACATTTTTCTTTCTGTTCCAATAATTCTTTTAAGCCATCTTTCAGACTACATACATTAGTGATACATTCTTAGCTTTTCACCTGAGACTTAGTTTCCATTTCATTTCCAAGAGTTATAGGGTTCTGGTACTGGAAAAAGAAGAGTTATGGGGTTAGGTTGACAACGTATTTCCTTTATCATTTGAAATATGTGTCCTGGGCCAGGGATTTAGCTCAGTAGTTCCTCTATGGTTTCCAATGAGAAATATACTATCAACTCAAGTTGATTTTCCCCTAGAAGATACAGTTTCTCTCATTGCTGTTAAGGTTTTTTTTGTCTTTAGTTGTCAGAAGTTTGTTAACTACCCTTCTTGAAATGGATTTTTTCTGAATGTATCCAGCAGTGGATCCCAAACACTTTGGTACCAGGGACTGGTTTCGGGGAGATGTATAGTGGTCTTCAGATGATTCAAGCATGTTACCTTTATTGGACACTTTATTTCTATTATTATATTAGGTTCTCATAAGGAGCACATAACCTAGACCCTTCGCATGAGCAGTTCACAGTAGGGTTGGTGTTTCTATGAGAACCTAGTGCAGGTCAGTGGTGAGCAGCTGTAAATACACATGAAGCTTCACTTGCTCACCTGTGCACTGCTCACCTCCTGCTGTGGCCCTGCTCTTCACAAGCCATGGACGGGTATCCATTGGTGTCAGACGGAAGCAAGGGAGTGGATGGGATGACAGGGCCACTGCTGCACAGTTTGTTCAGCTTCCTGCAACTGTAGGCTTATATCTTTTCTAAAATTTGAGGAATTTCTACCATTAGCTCTTAAATTTTTTAGTCTTTGCTAGAACTCCTATTAACATAAATGGTAGAAATTTTGTTGTAGTTTATGAATGGTTTCTTGATGCTTTTTGGGGAGGGGTACTGAGGATGGAACCCAGGGCCTCAAGCTTGCTAGCAACACTACATCCACAGTCCTTCCATTTATCTTTATTCAGTCCACTTTTTTGTAAAGACTGGGTTATTTCTATTGTCCTATCATTAAGTTCAGTGAGTGATTTTTTTCCTGTGGCCTCTCCATTTGGCTATGGTGCACACGAATTGATATTTTTCTGAAGTGAAATTTTATTTTTCAATAGCTTTAGATTCATAAAAGAATTGCAGTGATAAAATTCCTATGTATCTTGCATCCGATTTCCCCTACTGGTCAAATTTTACACTATTATGGCACAGTTGTCAAAACGAATAACATAATATTTAAACATTAATATAGCCTTATTTTATGCAGATTTTTTTACCTAATGGATTTTTTCCTTGTTCTGTGAGTCCATCCAGTATTCAACACACATTTATTCATCATATCTCCTCCAGGTTATAAGTGAGTGCTCTATCTTTCAAAGCATTAATCACTTAAAGGACACTGTAGACCATCCTTCAATTTGGGATTGCTGATGTTTTTCTCATAGGTAAACCAGGGTTGTGTACATTTGGGAGAAAGATCACAGAGATTAAGTGTTTTACCACTTCTCAACAGGGATTTATGCTATCAACAGCCACATCACTGATGATGTTAACCCCAACCACTTGGCTGAGGGAGTATGTGCCATGTCCATTACGTAGAGCTACTTCTTTCTGTTCTGTGGACACTGTACTTTTTGGAAAGAAGCTGACAGACACAGCCCACTAAAGCAGTGCTGAATTATGTTCTATCTCCTTGGAGGGGAAATAATTACGTAAATTATTAGGAATTATATTCTTGCACATTTATTCATAATTAATGATTTATTAGTATTAACTCATGGGAACTTTATACTTATTATAAACCAATGTTACTTGTTTTATTGTTCAAATTATTGCAGCTTTGATTACTGGCACTCTTTTGGTTGGCTCTTTTTTTTTTTTGGTACCGGGGATAGAACTCTAGTCCTTGAGCTTGCAAGGCAGGCGGCGGAACCACTGAGCTAAATCCCTGGCCCTTCTCTTCTTTGATATCCCCATCATTGTGTTTTTTGAGCATTTCCTTACTTTCTGGATCTACAAGATACTCTGTGCTTATCTTATATATTCCATGCCCCAACCCTAGAATCAGGCATTTCTCCAAGAAAACCTGGATCCTTTTATTGAACACAGTACTACAAACTACATATGATCTATTCAGATTTTTCATTTTTCATGATTTTGTTTTCATAGATTATGTACTTCTAGGTATGTCTTCATCTATGATATCCAATTTGCTGGTATATGATTGGTCATAGTATTTTCTTATAATCATTTTTATTCTTGCAGAATTGGCAATATCATCCCTTTTTTGCTTAAATTCTTTTATTGGTACATTTTAGGTATACAATATGTTTCCATTTGTCATTGGGTGCTTGTACCTGTACATGATGTATCTTGGTTCTTATTTTTTCCCCATTCCCTGTGTTCCCTTCACCCCCTCCATCCTTCCCTATTTACAAAGACTTTGTTTCCATTTTTTCCTTTTCTCATAATTTTTCCTTGCCCTTCTGTCCTTTCCCCTTCCCCTCCCACTTCCCCTACCCCTTTAGACCTTTTCTTCCTATTTCAAATTATCAATTATTCATTTTAATCATTTTAATCCTTATTTACACTTTCAGTTTCTCATACCAGAGAAACTATTGGGTATTTACACATGTGTGTCCTATTTATTTCACTTCAGAGTATGGCTTCAATATGCATCCATTTAGCTATAAATGCCTCTAGTTTCTCATTCTTTATGGCTGAGTAGTCCTCCATTTTATAAAAAACAACACATCTTCTTTATCTAGTTTCCAGTTGATGGGCACTTGGGCTGTTTCCAAGCTTTAACTATTACAAACTGTGCCACTATAAACATGGGTGCACATATATAGCTGTGGTATGATTCTTTTAATTATTTTGGGAAAATACCCAGCACCCACTTTTATTTCTGATTTTATTGAGATTTCTCTTTTCTTCTTGGTCAACTACATACATCTTTAGTTGTCTACTTTGGTGATCTTTTCAAGGAACCAACTATTGGTGTCTTATTTTTCTCTGTTTTTCTATTCTTTATCACTTTTCTAATCTCTCACATGGTTGTTCTTCTACTACCTTTAGGTTTAGTTGACAGTTCTTTCCCTCCCATATGACGTAAAACTAGATTCTTGATTTGAGATGTCTTATTTTTTTATGGATGCATTT